AATATTGATCAATATTTGCATTTAAATTGATCTTTTTTTTGTGAGTATAAAAAAATATTGTGTTATGTTTGGTCACATTTTCAAAGAGCCACTGCAGAGGGACCAAAGAGCCACATGTGGCCCCAGAGCCGCAGGTTGCAGACCCCTGGCCTAACATGAACTTTTACGTTCAAACATCCAGTTTGTTTATGTTTTCCAGAATGCCGTATGTGTTGGCTCATCGATCTGTTTGCTTTTTCCATTTTCAGTCGTTGAAATGCAAAAGAYCAAAAGTTGATTTTGTCATTAGTGYCGATTATTTTCTTCTAGAAGTACAGCAGGTCAAACTGGTAGAAGACCTTCAGGAGGCCTGAATCAGCTGGGAGCACAGGTCAACTTTATATTAAAAGTATTGATCTGTAGAGGAAGCACTAACCTGATAAAAGACTGAAAGAGCATGCATGGTTTATTTTACGAGTCAGCACATTTTGTTTACATCTTGATAACACAAAGACAGATGACCAGACCAGAGCATGACACCCACAGCTCCAGTTTGTGCTTTTTCTGTTAGTATTAGATTTAAAAACTGCCGAATGCATCTAGTAGTTCCTGAGTGTCACTGTGGTCTCACAAATCACACTAAAAATCAGCRGTTATTCAACCAGAAATGACGAGATGATATGTAACTGTGAATTTCTGCATAAATCCTAACTCCACCAACACAACGTCCTCACTTCAGAAAAAAAAATACCCTAAAACTTTTAAAGTGCACAACCATCCTGGGTTTTATGTCTGCTTGTTTCCTGCTTCTCCTCAAAGTTTCATCTCACTTGATTAAAACGTCACGTTGCTTTAAAATCAATGTTTGTCACAAAAAAACACAGTTTTGATGTTGAAATTCTAATAAAAACTTCACATTGAGACTTTGACAGTCCTGCATCAGTCCTGCTATTTTATTTATCCGAGTACTTTGTTTATTGTTTTTCAAAGTATTTACCACATAGTTTGAATATCTCTTCTCCAATAATAACTGKTGTTTTCATATAGTGTTTATTTAAATAGACCTAATGCAGATTTTCTGTCATTCCCAGTCACCTTTTTTGTCATTGTGCAGTAGATTCAGTTGTCAGCTGACATTATTTAAACTCTGCAGACACACAGTACCCTGAAGTTATCCCACACGATAAATAAAATGATTAAAAAAAGTTAAAGGCTGAAGGAATTCAACCTGAAAGACACAGCTACTTGAATGACAAAAAAAAACTCCCCTTAAATAAATTTAACCAAGTTTTAAAAGATGGTTTTAAAAGACTCTAATGCAGTGGTTGTCTGTCTGCTACCTGCACTGACTCATTCATAAACATATAGTAGGGGAGACCGGGGACAGTAGCAACAAGGGACAGTTGCAACAGGTCATTTTTCTCCAAACAGAAACAGAGTGATGACACTCACACTGTACATGCTCAGTTAGATGTCCCACCTTGTAAAGAAAAAGTCAACAGATTCAAAAACTGATCCAGGATTTATTTGAAAAAACTGTTTTTGAGGAACAAAGTATTTTTTTACCCAGTTTTATTTTTGTTAAACTGTTGTCACTGTTTTTGTGATCCAGATCAAACTTCTKTGGTTTAAACAAGTGATCTGTTGACTTTTAACTAATCTAGTTAACATGTATCCAGATGAGCTTATTTAGCTAACACATGAGGTTTTATCATGGCTGACAGGAAGGGGGACAGTTGTAACAGTTGTTGTAACTGTCCCCATACGATAAATCCATATAAAAACAGAGCACATACAGATGAGATTAACATGTTGAAATTAAGTTTACACTTAAAAGGCTGTTGGGTGTTCATGACAGTTTTATAGTTTAAAACATCAAAGTGTTTAAGATGTATTTTCTACAGTTGTTGTTTTCAACAATGGTTTTAAAATCCCAGTTTGTTTAATGTAAATGTTACATAATGTAGGCGTACAGTGACAATAGACAAAACACAAATTGTTCTGTTATCCTTGTGTCTAAAAGTCAACTGTATTTTATATCAATTAGAGTCTTTGACATCTGTATATAAGGTCTACTCATCAAGGCTAATCTATATTCATCATTTGATCAAAAACAATAAATAAATAACACTGTAATATCATTAGAACTTACAGGTTTTATTCATTTAGCAATAATATAAATATAAAAATAATAAATAAATAACACTGTAATATCATTAGAACTTACAGGTTTTATTCATTTAGCAATAATATAAATATAAAAATAATAAAATTTTTATTTACAGTGAAATATATTGTATTAATAATTTGTTGTAAGCACCCCCAAACAATGTTACAACTGTCCCCAGCCTCGGGGTCAGTTGTAACATCTGACTTTTCATTTTCAAATACAAATAGTGAAGAATGTACATGTTTTAGTCATCTATAAATGGGTTTGACTGTTAACAGACAGATGTGAGTTTATTGTATTAAAATTTGGTTTGTCTAATTCAAACCATCTCTGAGTAACAGAGTCAAATGTAAAAAGTGTTGCAACTGTCCCCGGTCTCCCCCTACTACACTGACCGCACAGACAATTACTTTCTGTGGTATTGTTGTGAGGAAAGGCAGCATGTTGAAAAGGACCCCCTGTTGGACCTATCCCCAACCCACTCCAGTACTCTGCGTACACACCTAAACATGGAGAGCTACACACAACTACAGTCCTTCTGTAACCCCGCTCCTAAATCGATTACCTGTCTCCCCCTGTCAGCCTCCTGGGGGGAAAGGTGTGGGCAACTTAAGGTAGGAGGGGGGGCATTGACTCTAACTTCCTGATGGAACACCGACAGCAGGGAACTGTGGGATGAATAAAACACAGAGCATCTGAGTGGAAAGACAGAGTCGCTTCCTAACAGTTTTCAAARGATTCAAACAGAAAATGACTGCAAATCTTTTTGTCTTTATTTCTAACCTGGAACATTTCCTGACTCTGTAGGCCTGGTCGAGGAGCTCCTAAAAACACCAGTGCTGAGAATACCCGGGGCGAGCTGGTCTTCCTGGGAGACCTGGTCCAGCTGCTCGCAGAGTTGTGCTAAGGGCTACCGAACCCGTCGACGGACCTGTTCTGGACCCGAGGGGAAAAGTGCCCCTGTAGCATGCCGTGGCTCTCCTGTGGAGTATCAGGACTGTAACGTGCAGGCGTGTCCCGGTGAGTGAAGACACACCTCAAACCCAACTATGGCCGTCCATTTGGAGCTTTTACTTCAGTGATCTTTACTGTGGGCTGCCATTTGTAAAGATTACCA